ACATAGCAAAGTATCATGAGAGGAAATGAAACAGATAGTTTGTTTCTTTTAAGTCTGATCATGAAAGAGAATAAGTTGGTGTTTTTTAGGTGCAAAGAATCTGTTTCATAGCCGTGAGGGGGTGCATACCTGGGGGAGTTTTGATTATTTTATTTTATTTGTTTTTATTTTATTTACTCTGTAGGTCACTATTTTTGCCAAGCAAAATGTTAGTCCTGCCAATGCAAGTTTAATTTGAATTTCTTGGTTGTGTAGTCATATCCTGCTATGGCAACACCTAAAACAATCTTGACTGAAATTGAAAGCCAGGCTACTGTAATTTCAAATATATAGAACTAATATATAAAACACTATATTGTGAGGGGATTACATATAAAGTAAAAGTGGAAAATTTATTTAACAATGATGTAGAGTGCTAAATGTTAATTTTTTTATTTTATTAATAATAATGTCCTTACAAGTTCTGTCCTCATTGAGAACTTGACAACTACTTTTTTATACAAAATATAAACGCTGGCATGTTTAAAGTATTTCCATCACATCACTGGAACCATGCTTATTTGGTATGGTGCACTTATTTTTCAAATAATTTTCTCCATAGTATGATTATTTTGTTCTAGAAATCCAAAATTCCCTGCTTATTTTATAAGTTGAAACATTCGCACAGGCACAGTGATTCCAGATGGCACTTGTATTTGGTACAAAAAAATATGGCCTAAACTTAGTAAAGGAACCATTAGTACTTAAAATATATAGGGTAAGAAATAATGTATTTTTGTTAAACCATTATAGATGAGAAAAATGATCAAATTGTAACATAAAATTTATATTTCTTGTTTTTAAGGCCCAAAACATTATCTACATCTCCAGAACACAAAGAGTCAGGGTAAGTGAGCTACCATTTCTCTTATAATTATTAACTCTATCGATCAATGTACAGATGATGTTTTAAGTAGGAGAGATTGTTGCAAAAGGGGGGGGTATATTGGCCTGCAAACAGATATTGAAAGATGGAAGACAACAATAAAACAAAGACTTGAGTAAAAAAAATATGTTGCTAAGTTTATTTTTGTTAAAGAAGATACATCAACTAAAATAAAGTTACATTGCACTAGACAAAATACATCTGTGCCTGTTCATGTAGACGGTGAGAATAGCATTAAAGACTATATATCAATATTCTAGTGATTAGGCTATGGTCATGATAAAGGTTGATGAGGTTGTGCATAGTGAGGGTTAGATCTATCTATTTCTTGTAGTGATATGTAAATGACTACCTAATTAGAACAGAAAAAGCATAGAATCTATATAAGTGCCCAAGCAGTAAGAGGAGAGGCAGAATATCATGTGCAAGATTAATGACTACTACTGGACTGAGAAAATATGAAGGAAATTACATTTCATAACATTTCTGAAATATATTTGCATAAAAATAACACAAGCTGGAACAAGTAGGACTTGAGGTGTAGATGGCTTAAAGTTTAACAGCACAGAGTTTGGAATCAACAAATTGAATTTAAACTTGGACAATCTGCATTCACTTCACACTAATGCCTTTGGAAAAAGCACAAATCTATTTCTCCTTGCTACAAGCTATGAATAAATAACAGAGCAGTCTAATCCCTTTAGTCTTGAAGAAAATTTACCTTGGCCATCTGATAAAAGTCAGGTCAGGGATCATTCCTTGTTGCTAGTAACCCACAACTTATGGCATATTACTTGGAGAGGAGGTTGTGGGTGGTATATTAGCCTGCCAACAGATGACGGAAGAAAACAAACAAAATGAAGACTTGAGTAAGAAAAATATATTGCCAAGTTTATTTTCGTTAAAGAAAATACATTGACAAAAATAAGGTTGCAGTGCACTAGGCAAAAATATCTGTTCATGTAGAGAGTGAGAAGAGATATTGTCCTGAAAAGGACAGTTTTGATAGCTCTTGAGAATTATTGTCCTGAAAAGATAGTCTATCACATAACGTTTGCTGCTGTCAAGGATGGATGGCTGGAGCTGGTGGCCTGCAGGAGCCACTGTTGATTGCTGGAGCTGACTGGGTGGAAACACAGGCCAGCTGGCTGCTGCTGTTGCAACAGATACTACACTTTGATCCTAGGCTCTATTTAACATGAAAATACATATTTGTGGCACAAGGCTGTAGGAGAAGTGGGGAAAAGCTGATCGTCACTGACTATCCTAGCTAATCTGATTCATGACCCATTCAGTCTTACAATTGACTAATTCACCATAAGAACTCATCCTACTTCACCCAAACCATTGTTTACCAAAATACCACATATTTGCAGGGAACCTACTCAGAAAAATCCCATGGTATAAAAAGTTCAATATGTATAATTGTGATTTTTTTTTATCTTGGTCTGGATTGTTCGTTTTCTGATTTTTTAGGCTTTATTATATGCTCAATCAATTTTACAACAGATGCTGGTCCTAGAAGGTGAAGGTTCTTCTTCTGGATGTTTTTTTAAAATATGGGAGTACTGACAAGATATGACAAAGAGATGGGCACTGCCAAGTAGTCCCTATTAACCTGAGAGATGACATGAAAGAGAATTATTCAGCATGTTAACTCAACGATCTAATAGGTCATAGGAAATATCCACATCCTCGTAACAAGTAGAAAGTGAAATTCTATTTTTATAGTGCTTAATAATTGAGCTAATCCGTGCTTCTTAATTTATACATAATTTTTAGTTGTGTATCCAAAAAGAAACAGCTTGTTCTGTTTCTGTGTTTCTTGATGTTATTTTTAATATATTAGAATTACAATAGAAGGAGAGACTTTTGATGTTAGCCGAAACCAATGTTCATGCCAAAATCTCAGAGCCTGGTCAAAACAGATATAAAATGACAATTCTTAGCTAGAAGCAGATGGGACAGCAAGAGGGGACAGTAGGAGAGGATGAAACAAAAAGTATGCTACTGTGTAGAAACCAACCATGCGTGATGCATGAAAAAGCAGTTAAGAGGTCATCTGCTAATGATATTTTGCCCTGCTCAGTGCCAAGAAAAAAAATACAGTAGAGTGACACTGACCTATTTCTCGCATTACTACTATCCCTATCATGGTCTGACTTCAAACTACCACTAATGAACATTTCTCCAAACTTCTACCAATATCAGCCTTACTAACAAACTCACTCATTATTCTAAAGAAAATAAGTAAAAAATATTATTTACATTAAACCCTTGAGTTTGTTTGTCTTATTTCAAAGTTTCCAGTAAAGAAAATCCTACCTACCACAGAATACCACAAGTTTATTGATAATGATGGAACTCGTGTTAATGACTGCACTTATTGTAATTCATTCATTCAGAAAGCAATTTACTAAGACAAAAATGTATAGCAATTAAAGCAATTTCTGTACATTTTTGTCTTAGTAAATTGCTTTCTCTTTTAATTAGAATAGCATTTTTTAAATCAAAATTATGGTCAGACTCATTATAGTGAGAAACTAATGCATTGAGTGTGTTGTTTTGTAAAAGATCCCTTTTGTGTTTATATAATCTTTTATTTAATCACTAGATCATCCACAGTGAATTTATGTCCAAGTTCTTACAAGATTTCACCTTTTCTTGGCAGATTTTATATTATTACAGTGTGAGTTATTTAATAACAAAAGTGATAAAAGAAAGACTAACAAAACTCGTTGTAACACCAAAGATGAACTGAAGACAAGGATTATCACAGTATTCACCAACTTAAATAAGGAGACTGTCCAGAAGAGTAGCAGTAGATTCTGAAGTCATTTGGAGGCCTTGGTTGAAGCCAATAGCGATTTTATTGAATAAATTTACTCTTTAGTATTTCAAGATATTTTTGTGTAATTTTGGTAAATATATCTGTTAAAATGAGATGTCAGTGTTATTTTCATTTTTGCATAATTTAGACGACAATTTATCCATCGCAGCCTGTATATATCTGTGAATAAGAATTATATTAGCAAAATTAAAAATGATGGGGTGATTTATACATAGATTGGCCCTACTATCTAAAATTAGATTATCTGTATACTTTGCTTTGAAACAAAGTCTTGCTCTATGATACTTCTACCTAGGATCAATGTAGTTCTGGTGATTTTTCTTCTTGATCCATATGTTCACATATGGGCACCCATGTTAAATTTAGCCACCATGGAAAGGTGGCTAAATACCAGATCAGTGTAGTATCTGTGCACGCAGTGAAAATTTTTATATGAACATGCACACATGTATTAAATTCTCTCTCTCTCTATATATATATATATATGTAAGCAAATATATGGATATAGATCCGACAGTATGAAGTTGAATTTTATATGTTCTAATGTTACTTTTGTTTAATGAAAATGTCCTGAAGATGGTCTAAAATAGACCGAAACGTCTGACGTTGACTTTATATTAACATTAATACAGCATAATTGCATATTAAGATTTTTGTTTGTTTTTTCTGTATATTTTTCTTCATATATATATATATACATATATGTGTGTGTTAATTATTTGTACTACAGATGCAGACAGTAAAGAAGATAACTCAAGTGATAGAAAAAAGAACAAAGTCAGGGAACAAGTTGTTCATTCTTCATCTGTGCAAACAACAATTCTGCCTTGGTGGTGGTGGCATGTTCATTGGTCAACTCAGAAGCTATATTGGTTGGAAGAGGATGACAAAAAACAGAAAAGACACTCTCACGATGACAGCCATCACAAAAATACTAATGAAGAAGTGATTAATTCTAAAGAGATATTTGAACCACAGGTAATTGTTTTTATGATACTAGGCTCTTTGTGTCACATGGTGATTTTTTTTTTTCTGTTAAATATAATATTTTTATTATTTTGTTATGTTTTACTCCATATTCTCATTGTTTATTTTTAGCAAAAATTCTGGGTTGATACACTCTTCAGCTTTTAGGATAATTGTTGATTGATTTGTTTTTTACAGTTTATCAACCTCTTGTGGGTTATTTAAAGCCAAAACATATTTCAGATTGTAGGATTTTGTTTGCAGTACCTAGTGTTCCCAAGTGGCCTCTCATCTAAGTACTGACTAGATTCAACATTGCTTAACTTCGATGATTGAACAAGAACTGGTGTTTTCAGCATGATTTAATCATGTGCTTTTAGAGTGAACAGCATACAATCAGAACTATAAGAGCAGCTTTTGACAATTGGACACACACCCACTGTGTCAAGAGTCCATCTTTCATGGATATCATCTTAACCACTTCAGCCATGGAAGCATCAATGATAAAGTAAATTACAAATTTGTCATTCTACTTTCCTTCCTCTCATCTTTGTTTTACCATTTAGTAAATGAAGCTATTTATTTTGAAATATGACATTTTTCTCTATAATTATTTTATTACTAGTTTTTCTCCATCTTATTGGTGTTGCTTTTTATCACACAATTTTAGATTGATATACTTTACTATACATTTTCATTTCCTTTTGTGAGTTTTCAAAATTTTGAAATGTAGATATTTGCTGTGCCAAATTTGACACAAGATCATATTACCAGAGCCCTTGGTGAAAAACTCATTGTCAAGAGATTACATGATAAGTTTGTTAATCTGAGGTGTTCTTTGAATTTATAATGTAGTCCTGCTCTTATAATGAAGTCAGGAGACAAATTCAATAGGCTTACGGCCAACATCACATTGAAATACCAGTTCCCGTAAAATCACCAAAGTTAACCAATGTCATGCCTGATCTGTACCTAGATGGGTAACTGATTGGAAATACCACATGCTGTAAGCTTGGATGTGCGGGTAGTGTAATGGATAATGGCTCAGAATTGTTAATCGGAGAGTTGAACTTAATTTTCACTTGGTTTTGTTATATTTACTTACATTCTCTCCTCAGCTATGGGTTAATTAGTAATATTTATATCACTAAACCATTATTATCTCAAAATAATTCTTACAATCTAAAAATATTTTCTGGCTTTAAATAACTTGCAAAGGGCTAATAAGCCATAGAAAATGAATGAATGAATCAAACAAATTCAAAGTTTAAAGGAGTAAAAATGCCACTTTTTAGTTTAGTTCATTTTTATAATCTCTTGTAGATGACAGTTAATTTAGTAAGAGACTAAAGTAATCAAAGAATTTATTTTGAAAGAAGCATATTTAACTTCCTTTTTTAAGTGAGCAGAGCATTAGAGGAGTAGAGAGTAGTTATTCTTTTTTTATTGTGCAAGATTTAGAAAGTAACTGTTAGAAAACAGTAAGGGCAAACTTTTTTCACCTTGGAGAGCAAGACAAATATGTGCCACTGTAACATTTTCTAATGATAGCACACAATCATGGCATCTCATCTGAATGTTTATGGTTACAGTTTTGCATTAGACATATGGCTTTGTCAAGTGCTCTTTACAATGCATAGTTTCTTAGTTGTCTTTATTTTATATTTATATCATTACATGAGCCTGTCTTTCTTACCTATGCATGTAGGTGATCTTAAAGGAGCAGTAGTTTGTCATTTACCTGTTATTATTAAGCATTTTATCCATTCATTACTTCTCTTGTTGCTTCAATTCTTGTTTATTGGTTTCCTCTTAACAACACAATGTAAAACTTTTAAAAAAGGTTTTTTATTTTTCTGTTGTACAAGGCTTGTTTAGTGTGCCCCATGGGATTTGATTAAATTTTGGTGTGTTCATTTCACTATAATACTTTTTTAATTATGGAAAAATTTATTCACCATAATTTAAAACTTTAATCTACAACTATTTTTTCGATACAAAAGAATTTAGTTGTAGACTTTATCTTTGTCTGATTATTCCTTTGTCTAATAGTTGTCTTAAATTTTGATTCTTTAGAAATTATTTTTATTTTTTATTTTTTTTAATTGGTATCACCCCATGCAAGGCAAATGAGAAGTGTGAGAAAAGAAACTGTTAGCATAGAAATTATGGTTACATCCAACTATCTCAACAGTAAATTGATGAGATCTCAATGCCAGTCTAGTACTGCACTTAAATTAAAAAAGTCTAGGTGCCATGGTAAAGAGCTCATCTAAACAATCACCATGAAAGTATTTATAGAAAAGACACAAAGAGGCAACTTTATTATTATTTTTCTTTGTATATTTAAAAATTATAGAACCAGCAAGTTGGGTTCAAAATTACACCTAGTCAGTTACCTTTAATTTTACATAAATCATCTTGGGAAAGAAATAAGTCCCTTTCTTCTCCCCACAGTTATTAGTTAAATAGCAGGGTAGACTGCTTTTGAGCCTTGGGTAGCAGCCAGTCTAGGAGAAGCACAACTGTAAAGAGGGCAACAGGAAACTACTCCACTATCTTTCCCAAGTAGTTATAGTAGTTATAGAAATATCGAAAAAGGAAGTTGCAGAGAGCCACTGATCGCCTACATGCTGAAGGGACAGGACCTTAAAAATATTCAGAAATTGGGGAGTTCTGGATCCTTTAAGAAAGAAATATTCTATATTTAATAAGAACTTCAAAATATTTCAAATCATCTTTTCCGTCTCTCTTCAATTAAAATTTGATTATCAACAAGAATGTTCCTACTGCATAATTACCTTCAGTCAGATGATAAAAGATATGGGAATTTTCACATATAGAAAAAAAATTATCTTGTTTATTCTTGAACAAGAAAAGGAGTCTTACTATGTATGAAATTGAACAGAGAAAATTTATTTATTTACAATAGTTTTAAATTGGAAAGGAAAGAAAAGTATAAAGGCTTTCTCAAAATATTCTTTTGAGTATTTAATAAAAATTAAGCTGTGTAAAGAGAAAAGTGTTCAGGAAAACAAAATTTACAATTGACAAAGTTAAAAAAGTTCTTTGTTAAAGGGATAAATTGCAAGTTCTCTCATAGTTGTGAATGTTCGGACCTGTCAGCAGTTGAGGTCATAAAGAATCTTGTTGATGAAGAAGACTGAATGAGGAATTTTGGTAACAGTGATGTGATGAAGGCTTGGTTTGCATCTCTTTGAAGTTGGTTTCAGAACAAATTGTTAGTTTTTAGTTTCAGGCATGTTGTCTGGAGTTTTGGTTGGACACTTTGCATCTGAGAATCTTTTTGTTCTCTGCTGCAAATATTAATTGTTATATTTGTCCCCATGTCTGTATCAATCTTGATGATGCATGAACAGTAATGGTAATGGCAATATTAACTGTTTCCTTATTTTTGTAATGCAAATGAGTCACATTTGTAAATGGTTGTTGTAGTAGAGACTTTGTAATTGCAGATACAACTATAGTACACCTTTTAACAATACTGATGTCAAATGCCTTGTACTAATAGTACTTTCTCGATAATACTCACTCACAAAGTAATCCATATAGTGATCCGAATAGAGAAACAGTATAGAGTAAAGAATAGTGGTCCATATAATAATAGAGGATAGAGTAGAAATAGCAATCATTTAGATGTCACGCGACTTCCTACTTATGCATTTCCCCTATGGTTACATGATCCACTTAATTCAATAATGGGATTGCCTGTGTTTGCTCACTGGCGATCTATGTTCAAACTCAAGTGTCGGCAGCAACACTTTATTCCTATATAACACTTATAAAAAAATATTCAGCATTTAGCATTTATTACCTGAGCAACCAGTGTCACTGTTGGTTGAAATTTATAAAATCTTTCTCTTGAAACAATTTTTCAGGAAAATAGGTTTCTCAAATCTAGTAGCTGTTTCCAGTATTGATGGGGGGGGATCCTTTCCTAACCTTTTGTTTGAAGTAGTGTGGAATGTCAACATGACCAACAACCTTTTCAAATAATTGTGGATTTGAATTCCCATTCTTAAGATAGATGGAAAATAATTCAAAGGAAGAGTTTTCCTTCTGAATTCTTTTTTCCTAAACATTTGATTTTTATTGACCAGGACCAGAAATAGCATGAACACAAATAGGCTCAAAATCTATGCTTATTGAGAAAAGGACATCTGAGCACCTCATTGGTTATTAAAGTCTTCAATTTTATTTAGGATTGTAATTTTGCATAAATTAAAAAAAAAACAATAACAATGAATGGAAAGCTCTTATCTAAACAGCATTTCTCCACTAGGATGGGTAGGGCTTAAGGTACATTCAGATGTCTGTAGTATTGATTCAACTATCTAGACAGCTACCTAAATGAAACAACTTGTGTTTACTTTGTATTTATGGGCATGCTAATTAAAAACAATGTTCTTCAAAATCACATTTTTTCTCTGTTAGATACAGATTTTTTCATGTTGGTCCATTTTCTTAATTCCACATTTATAATTTAGGTAAATCTACAAGAAACATCCCCCAAAAGGTGGGAAAATGGTAAGAGAACCACATTTACTGATTGGTGGGATGTTCCTGCATTTCCTACTGGTCCAGTTGGTATTCAAGAGGACAAACAGGAACGCACAGAAGTCGATTCAAAACAAAATCTAAAAGATGAAGGAGATAAAAGGATAGATATTGGACAAAAAGATAATTTTGAAAAAGGTCAGTGAAAAAAATAAATTGTTTTTAGAAGAAACAATTCTGAAGGTTTTCATTATTAAGAAGTTACTTTTTAATTATATTCAATTTTAAAGACTGTTGCCAATGTGTATTGACCTCAATGTCAACTTTCATATATATATATATATATATATATATATATATATATATATATATATATTTATAAATTTATAAATATGGAACCTTGGGTCACAAATGCCTTCTCAGCACAAGCAAATCATTTCCCCACTGAACAAATTTTTTAGAACAAAAATGTCTCAGGTGATGAATAGTGGCTCAAATGATAACCATGCAAGTCAGCAACAACATGGGGCAACAAGCTGGGAGTATCTGTGGGAGAGTGTCAGTTTTGGTGTAGCTTTCTCTCCATAGACATCCCTGCTCAAATTTGCCATCCCTTCTTTTGAATTTCATTGTTTTCTGGAATATCTTGTTTTTTTTTGATAAATTTATTCCTTTAATCTATTTTATTGATTACAACAGATTTCTTCTGCTGGGACCAAATCCTCAAAGATAAAACATCAAGACAGCAAAAGTGAAAAAAATGTTTCATGACTAAAGGAGAATTTTATCTTCATATTAAAATACATCATCTTTGGGAAAGAAATACATTGGACACTGGTTTGTTAAATA